CCCCCAGGCTCCGGGGTAGCAAGAAACGCCCCCACTCACACCCCGGCAGCATCCCCCGGGCAGGGGATGGGGATGGCCACGGTGCAGCCCCCGTTACCTCCCTTTGGGCAGCACCTCTCGGGTGCTCCCCGGCAGCAAATCCCTGCTGGGGGTCTTCACAGCCCCCCCAGCCCTGCAACACCCCAGAGCTCCTCCATGCCCAGAGAAGGGCTGTGGGCCTCCCCTTGCTCCTCCCCAGGCTGCAGCTGAACCTGCCTTTGCGGACAGGCTAATTAAAACCCCATTAGCAAAAGCTGCTCAGAGGGATAAGATGCTGCCGGTGCCTTTATAGTGTCAAACCCCCCCCTCCCACACGCCCCCCGGGGCAGGTGGGGTTTGTGCACATCGTTTTGCCACAGAAAAGGCGATTTGATGCTTCCCCGACACTTTGCCAGGCAGCGGCACCACCAGCGAGCCAGGGTCCGGGGCTGAGAAACCGGCGGGGACCGTCCGGCTAAGCCGAGCGATTAATGCCGGGGCGGGACAGGTCACGTACGTGCCCAGCTGAAGGACGCACAGGAGCCTCTGCCTGGTGCCTGATCACCGATCCCAGTGCAACCAGTTCTCCCAGTGCTCCCAGTACCACGTGCAAGAGCATCCCTGCCCCAGCGGGGACTTCTGGGGAGAACGGGACTCCCAGCCCGGAGCATCCTGGGGTGCACGGCAGCACCGGGAGCCACTCCGGGCATGCATTCCCTCCCCGGGGACCCCCCCATCCACAGCAACCCCCCTCTGCTCTCCCCCAGCCCAGCGAGGCCCCGACCCCCAAGAGACAAGAGACACTCCCTCCAGCAGGAGCCCAGCGAGGCCCCGACCCCCAAGAGACCCCGCGGACGGCCGAAGGGCAGTAAAAACAAGGCCACCCCGAAAGGCAGGGTAGGTGGCTGGGGACAGAGGCTGCTCCGGCCAAGCAGTCGTGCACTGGGACGACGGGTCCATTTTGAGCTCAATTCTAGATAATTCAGGGCAGATCTACCCCTGGGAGCGGGGGGGCCTCAGTGCTGGCCCCCAGGGAAGGTGGTGGTGGGGGGGGAGCCGGGGACCGCATGTGTCAGCGTGTGGACACACGCGATAAACCTGTTTGCAAAACATGCGACTCACATCCTGCACCCACCTCGTGAGTCACGGGGCCGGGGCCGTCCCGGTGCTGGAAGCCGGCGGCGAGGGGGGCCGGGGGGGCCACCTGGGTACAGCAGTCCAGGAGATGCCACTGGAGTGATGAATTTGGCAGTTGTGGCTGGGAGGAAGGGGAACGGCGCCCACCCCCCCCCTCCCCCAGCAGCATCCCGGGGATGCGGGGACGGCCCCAGCCTGACCAAAAAACACCACCTTTTCTTTTGCTCAGAAAGCTGCAGTCACGCCAGGGAGAAAACCTCGAGGCCGACCGAAAAAATCGGTGAGTGGGCTTTTCCCTTCCTCCTCCATCCTGGCAGGGTGCTGGGCACTCTGGGGGCACAGCAGCCCACCCCCCGGCTGTCCCCGCAAGTGTGGGGTAGATGCTGCCGGGCTGGAGGAGAGCAGAGCGGTGAGCAAAAAGGGGACACGGCGTGGCACAGGGTGGGCTGCCGTGCTGTGCCCCGGTGCCGGCGCTGGGGGGGACTGAGCCGTCCTGGCTCCCCCACCTCCCCGCGGCCCTGGGAGCAGCGTGCGGGAGGCGGCTGGTCCTGCCTCAGTGGCACGCTGGCACACGCCTGCCCGGGCACCCGCTGCGTCACCGGCGCGGCATTCCTGCAGCCTGCGTGCGCAGCAACACACCCCCCCGCTCCCCGTGCACTACAGCCACCCTCTTACTTTGTGCTTTCCCTCCTCCATTTAATTTTTTCCCCCCTCTCCCCTTTTCCCCCCCTCGGTTTGCAGCCCCACGGGAGCTCAGGCGGCTGCCGGGCACCCACGAGCATCACCTGGACAGTTGGGAGCAGGTTTCATCTCCCTTCCCGGCATGCATATCCCGCTGTCCCCAGCCCCGGGCCGCATCCCCATGCCCAGGAGCTGCCACCAGGCACTGGGACACAAAGAGCCACCCATGAGCATCCTCAGGCTAAGGCTGCTCTGCCCCATGTGGGGTTTTGCCCCTTTTCCCACTTAAATTCCTTGCGGAGGGTGAGGGGCTGCGACCAGCCGGGGCTGCAAACCAGGGGATCGCATCCTGGGGGGTCTCCTGCACCGGTGTCACAGCACCAGGGGCTGTTTCGGGGACCCCAGGGCGGGGAGCGGGTTCGGCAGGGTGGGACCAAGCCCGTCCCAAGCCGGCGGGGCCGTGCCGTGCCGTGGACGCCGTGTCCCACTTGGCAGCCGCCGGCCACGGTGGCTTTTTTATGAATGAAGCGGGAGGAAGCGGGGGCCGGCGCTGAGTCACGCTCACACTCAGCCCTGACTCACCGCCGCGTGCGGGGCCACGATGCTCACGGCCACCCGCCGCAGCGTGCGGGGCCGGACACAGACACCCGGGTCCTGCCACCACCGGCACCCCCCTGGTGGCAACTGGGGACACGGCAGCGGCGCTGGGGACCGCAGTCTCACACTTGCAGGGTGTGCGTGCACCCAGGGCGTGCAACTCCTCGCTGTGAGCCCACCCAGGGGGGGTTCTTACCCGGGATTTGACCTGTAACGGTTAAACCCAGAGCAAGGGCCAGTCCCCAAATCCAGGAGGGTGCTGGTGCCTCAGTTTCCCTCTTTGCACGAGGCGTGCAATGCCCAGTCAGCCCTTCATCCAGGGACGGAGGGGGGTGTCTGCAGCCCCTGGCACCCCCCGACCACACTCCCTTGCCTCGCAGCAGCAGGACGAGGAGGAGGTGAACATTTCCCAGGAATCATCCGAGGAGGAGCAGTGAAACCTCCCAAACCGGCGCTACCTCATCGCCCGACGGTCCCGCGTCCTCGGCGGCCGGGGGAGAGGGACGGGGAGAAACCCACTGCGCCGCCCTGGCTTTTTCCTCCTCCCTCCTCTGCTCCTTCCTCACCCTCAGACAACGGCAGCACTGGAAAATGGCCCAACCCAGGCAGCCCCCGCAGCCCCCC